ACCAGACTGGCCTTGAACTCAGAGATCTGCCTGCCTCTGCCTCCCAAACGCTGGAGTTAAACACATGCACCACTACACATGGCCACAAGAAGGCAGATTTTAAAACAACTGTAATTGAAAAGCCAAATAAAATAGTGAGTGTGTTATTAGAGCTTAGAGGGGGTCATCTATTCTGACAGGTGGCATCAGGGAAAATATTCAGAAAGTATGCATTCAAATAATGCCACCAAGATAGATATTAAGGCTGCTGTTCCTGGTTGATGAAGTAGAGTCCTGAAAGGATCAAGTATACCTGAGTAAAAGTGAGACAAACAAGGAAGATTTTCACTTGCCCCACCCCACAAGGGCAGGCATGGTGGCTTTCATATCCTGCTATGCTGGTAGCTACAATGATGCCTGCCAGAAGATAAATATGTGTTGGCTAAATGATCTGGATACTTTAATTGGAAGAAAGAGGGAAAAGGGCATGGAAAATCAGGCTGAGCCCCAAAGTTCCAGAATACATATTTGATAAAGAACACAATAGAGATTCAAGAAGAAAAAGGAGTGATGTGTTTAATTTTACTAAGATGCCTGGAAGCAATCTTGGTTGGTGTGGGGGTGGGGCTAAAGACAAGGCAAAGGAAAAGTACAGGGCTTTTAGGAAGGGTATGAGATTTACCTGCAAGTCACAGGACTTGACAGGAAGTATGGTTGAAGAAATGAACGAGACAAAACAGTTCTATAAATTTTCAAACCGAGGACCAGAAGAATGGTGGTTTAACTATGTAAGAAAAGGAGAGCAGGTTAGCAATAAACTCTGGTTCAGGGAAAGGAAGTTCTGTTTTTAGACATATTAAACCTAAGATGATGGTGATAAATCAACAGAGAAACATTTGATATGATGAAATTCAGAGCTGGGTTCAGAAGTGAGCAGGATGAATTGATGGCTATTTACTCTGCCTACTCTCCATTGGCACCAGAGTCAGGCTTTCATCATGGTGCAGGTGCATACACTGAGTATGGGTTGAGAACCATTTAAAACAAGACACATAAAACAATTATCAGAAGACAGTGACCCAGACATTTGAGAGAGAATAATGAACAAAGTTCAAGGGAAAGGCCTTTAACAGGAAACTGAGAGGTGTGTAGGCTATTCATATCGTCTAGGCCCTTTCCTAACTCTGTAGTTCCTTCAGAATACAGATAAAAGCAATGTCAAAGACGTGTCACATAGGAATCTGACTCCTGCACACAGACATCTGGGAGCTTGCAAATCTCACAAATGGCAAGAAATTAAGGTGGGGAGAGGTTTCAAATAAAGTACAAAAAGATAAATTGTTTTCGCCTCAAATCTACTTCTGTGGCTTTAACTCATTTACAATTTATAAACCTGACACTAATATTTTCATACTGAAACAGGGAAAAACACCAACATGAATTTAGCAGCAGAGCAAGGACTATGGAAGGACATTTAAATACAAGATTAGTTCTTCTCTTGAAAGAGTCCAGAAGGTGATACTGTGGTAGTTACTGATGGGGGAATGTCCTTTTGAATGCTGTGAATATATGTTTTTCTTATTGGTTGATGAATAAAGCTGCATTGGCCAATGGACAGGCAGGATGTAGCCAGGCAGGAAGTATAGGTGGGCCAGCAGACTACATGGCTGGGAAGAGGAACACAGAGAGTGAGTCACCAGGGAAATGCCTTGTGACCCCCAAAGGAGTAACATGCTGGAGCATTACGGGTAAGCCACAGCCTTGTGCCAATACATAGTTTAGTAGAAATGGGTTAATAATTAAGAGAGTAGCCAATAAGAAGTCTGAGCCATTGGCCAAATAGTTTATAATTAATAAAAGCCTCTGTGTGCTTATTTGGGACTAAATGGCGGTGGGACCAGGCAGGATAGAAACTTGCATCTACAGGTTACTGCTCAGGTGGCTAATGCTAGAGGGTTCACACTTGATACCAGAATATAGTACATAGCAAGATCCCATCTTAAAAACAAAAGTAAACAAGTAAAAACCCAAACACACAATAAACAAACATGAATAGATATTTTGAACTAAGAGCAAACTACAAGAAGGCATGAAAACTCAATGCTTTCCTTGGGGTTTCGGGTGAGAAAATGAACACTGAGGAACAGCGTGCATGCACATGCAGGCAGTCATTGATGTGCTTCAGCACACAAACTCCACTCTGGTGACTACAGGTTCTTTTCATGGAGCTGAGCTGAATTCACCCACACAGATCAGACTCCATGTCCCACAGGGCAAAGCGAACTGGTTGGCTTACAGTACATTTTTTAGAAACTAGACTGAAACTTTGACTAATAAAGGGGGACTTATTTCATAAAACATAATTGATAGCAATGGAAGAGAAAAGCAAGAAAGCTGTGGCAGAGTGAGGGGCTGACTGTAAATCAGTCTCTCAGGGATTTCCCTCTTCCCCAAAGCAGGGTTTCTCTGTGTAGCTTAGGCTGTCCTGGAACTTACTACATAGACAATGCTGTCCTTGAAGTCACTGAGATCATCCTGCCACTGTCTCCCAGTAGTGGGATTAATGATGTGGGCCACCACCAGTCAGGGATGTTCTTATGGACTAAGGGCATAAATGTTATTGAGAATTCCAGTGTATGATGAAAACATGCCTTTATTTTTATTGTGTGGGCAATTATTATTTTTTTAATTGTATTAATTTTTCAGAAAAAAACAGTGTATTGTTATTTTGTTGAATGCTGTCTCCTTTGACTGCTTTAGACTTTTCTCCCCAGAAATGTGTGTTATTGATTGAAACATCTTATTATATACAAGAGGTATCTTGTAAGAATTGCCAACTCCTTAAGAAGAACCAGTCATATTAATTTGGAGCTTCCACATGGTGGAGCAGGAAATGGTGATTGCAAATTCAACCCTGTCTTCCTGCTTCTTGGTCAATCTCTATTACTTTGTATTGATGCTCTGGACATGACTCCCTTCGGAGGGACACTGTAGACCTCTGCATTTCCAATCAGTGGTTCCCAAAGCCCAGAATAACAGTACAAGGCATGCGGGATGCTGAACAAATGACCATGTCGGGAAGGCTGATAGCAAGAGCCCCATTTTTCATTTATTCTGTGAATCTGAGTAATGTCTTCTTTCCTCACCACCAGAATGACCTCATGCTGATGGATCTACTGAAAGGGTTGGCATCTGAATGGTGCTCAGAAGTTGTTAGCATCTTTCTGTATCTCCAAGTAAGTTTTCTCTTTCCTAGAATTTGATGGCTTTAGAACACTTTTTACACAGCTACCCTCACTATCTTCTTTTTATGACACTGATAGGTAAGAAGTACACATAAATGGATCATCATGTGGCCAACAACAGCTTAGCACCATCTACCTTTATCATTTTGCCTCATGCTCTCCCAGTTCAGACAAATCCAGTCATTCTGCTTCCCAAACACACCAAAAATCTTTAGATCCAAATACATATTTCTTGATGTCTGTACAACTTGCCATCTTTATCCATCCTAATGCTTAGGACACTGTATTGTTACTGTTATTTTTATTCTTGGATATTACTTCCCAAGTGTTTCCACATGCCAAGCATTATTCTAAGAGTATTACATAACTCTATAAGTCATTCTATATTACCTGTTACTAAGAACATATTTGTGGATTCTTATCTGCACAGTCTTATGATATGAACTATAACTTGGACTTCTTTGCATAATTATTGTGCAAACAGGGATTCTACACATGACAGTAGTTACATTTTGGATTTGTATTTTGTCCTTTTAAGCTGCTGACTTTCATTAAACCCACCAGTTTTTCAGACTGAAAAGTAATGAAAAGAGTTCATCTACATTTTGTGGATATTTTGGCAGCCTGAATCTATCTGTAAAGGTTCTTTCCAAGGGAGAGAACAGTAGCCTAAGTAGCAGGGTTTGAATTTATGTTTAGAAATGTAAAAGCTTGATTATTCTTGACTAAGGCCACAGTAAGCAGAAAATGAGAAAACTTACAGATATTAACTATTATGAAATTAATTCAACAAGACAGTCTTGCTTAGCAAAGTACATAAGACATTGTTACAGGACATAAAGGAAACTTAGGAAATCCTGTTTCTTCCCTGAGTTTACTGAACAGGAGAAGCATTTTTTGCACACCCAAATCCAACAATGCCATCTCTCTTTTCCTCTTAAAAATAACTTTTAGGGATGATTACAAAGTAAAATACCTTCCAGGGATTTTTTTTTTTTTCCTCTGACGCTATAACTAGGCATGATAGGATTTATTTTCATTCTAGTTTTTTTTTTTTTTTGAGAATATAGCACAAACATTTAAAGTCATAATCTCCTCTTAATGTATTTAATCAGATCTAAAGATAAAAGGAAGATTTATAAGAAATTACTAAAGGAAAAGGAAGCCAATTGCAAATAACAGTCAAGATCAAATCATAAATAGGAAACAGTATTTTTAAATAAAATTAACATTGTAAATTGCATGGCTAACTTACAAAGATGAACTTTTTATGCTTTTATGTGCTGTTATTTTTTTTTTTTTAAAACAATAAAGATGTGGAGGTTTTCAGACTTGCTTGCTTAGGGATAAAACAAAATAAGAAAGACTAGTATGTTGATTGAGCCATGGACTTAATCATAACAGAGAATAAAGGAAATGCTAGTAAATAGCACATTGCAGTTGAAAAGAAAAAGAAAATAAAAGGTGAATCAATTCAATTTGGATTAGCTAAAGGCACTTCTCCCTGACTGCTGAACCTGGTATGCGTCAAGCATCTAGGATTACACAATGGGGTATACAGATTTCTTTATGTTGTGGGTAACTCAGGAAACAGAGTCAAGGGTCTTCTCTGCATTCCTAATGGATACTTTAGCCTCAGTCAAGTGCATAAGATTTTCTGTTTTAGGACATGTACGTGTAGTCTCCTGTTTTGTGTATGTTTGTGAAAAAAAGAGAGTAACGAGAATGATTTTTGTACATATTTCTAACACATTATTCATACTTTAGAATTCTTACCAGTCTCTGTTTTTGAAGCTCTTCTCTGAGGATTCTATCTTCTGGTAACACATCACATAACAAAAAATAGTTGTCTTGTTCTTCTATTGAGAGATTAGGACAGTAAGTGAGAAAACAGATTTTTTCAGGAGTATTTGCTTCTTTAAAAATATGTGGACATGAAGCAGTGGAGATGGTTCAGTTAGTACAGTGCTTGCTGTGCAAGAGTGACAGCCTTGGTTTGGGTCCTTATGACTCACATAAAAGCACAGAGTGGTGGATCCCTAATGATCACAACTGACGGGCTACAGCCTCAGTCAAAGACTCTCCCGCAAAAAATAAAGAATAGTAGTAGAGGGCAAAATTGCCTTGTGGCTCACACTGTGTGCGTGTGTGTGCATGCCCATTAGTATCTGGTATAGAGTTCTGATGTATATTTATTCAAGTAAAGCAAAAATGAAAACACCAGTTTAATTTCAGCTATCATGCAAGTTAGAGCAAGTGTAATTTAAGAGAGTGAGATTATTTCTGTGAGTTTTTGATTTATGTGGATAATCAAGACATGTACTTACCAAATGGAGCTGTGGAATTGATTCTTATCACGCTGCAAAAATCTGTGATGGGCTGTTCAGTGAACCTTTTCCTCCAGTATAAAATGTACCTAAAGAAATGATATTCCGAAGGATGATGAGACTCAATATACAACTCTTAAAATGATAGGATCATACAAGAACGTCTAATTACCCCCACACTGAAAAGCAGATGCAAACTGAAACTGTGGAGAATATGGAAGAGAAAAGCAGTGTGACACTGCAGACATGTGAGATACGCACTTAAGAAATCAAACTACCCTGCAAAGTCATGGAAATGAGTAAGCCATACATCTTTGAAATTTAAAATGTACAGGTATATGATAAAGTTAAAATGAGTTTCTTTTGCTTGTTTGTTTGAGACAGGGTCTCATATAACCCAGAATAGCCTTGAACATGCTATGTTGTCGAGGCTCGCTTTGAATTCCTGATCTTTGGGCCTTCACCTTCTAAATTCTAGGATTACAGGCAAGTGCGACCACACATGGTGAAGGTGAATTATTTTATTAAGAATGATGTTTTCTAGAATAACTTATAGTTTACATGTATTTAAAATATAATCATTAGGGGTTAGAGCAGTTTAGAGCACTGTATGATCTTCCAGAGGATCCCGCTTTGAGTCCCAGGGCCCACATGGTGGCTCACAAGTATCTGTAACTCCAGTCATGGGATATGATGCTTTCTCCTGGCCACTGCAGGCACCAGGCAGGTTTGTGGTACACAGACACACATGTAGGTAAAACATCCATACATATAAAAATAAATAAATCTAAGAAATCAGAATAAAATAGGTTATGACACCCAAGGAGATAAAGAAAAGATTGAGTGGTCATCTTTAGCAAAGTGAGGTATCAGCATATGGTTAACATCTGCATAATTAGACCAAACATCTAAATGCCCACACTGTGCCTAAAATAAATGAAATGTGGCCTTTGGAAAAACAGCTGAGCTGATATTTTATATTTAATGAGCAGAGTTAGAAGTAGCATATGGACTAAATTTAAAAGCCAATCAGAACCCAGCCCTGTACATGTGCGGCAAGACAAGTAAAATGACATGATTGAACTAAGCTGCTCCTCCTTCAATGTATTTATTATAACAGGATGAATTATAGTGCTATCTCATAGACCAAAGGGCACCAAAGGAGAATGTGGTCTTCATGAGAAAAAAGGAAATGGGAAAGTTGACCCTATAGTTGACAGTTTATTGGACTATACAAATTACAGATAAGAAAAGCAAATTACACCAAAGAACCAAAGCTTTATTACAAAAAAAAAAAAAAAGTGTAGGGATTTGGAAACTTAAAATGGCTTGATATAGCATCTAGTGGTGGTCGGTCAGAGTAGGCTCAAAGTCAATGCTGCAAGAACGTGGGTGAGTCCTTGAAGACTTCTGCAGCAGTTGCCTAGCCAGCAACTCCCCATTCCTTTCACTCTTCTTTTGGCATATTTGTTACCATCATTGTGGTCTGGAGACATGATGAGTGGTATATAAAAGATTCTATTGAGAAAGATCTGAGAAAGAGAACCACGATGTGAGCTGGTAAACAAATAAAACACGGAAAACAATGGGAAGACCAGGATACACAGGAAAAGAAACCAATGAGTAACAGTAAGTCAGAACTGCATATTTAGCTCTTGCTCCTCACATCTAGCTACCCTGGTAATCTTAATGTGGAGGAGGAGAAGCATTCCTTACAGAATAGTTCTGACTTTATCCACAGATCAGAAAACGACAATGTTAAGCTCTAGTCAGCTAGAATTACAAAGACTGAACATATGGCCAACTCCGTGGCTTCCATATGCCTTACATGCGGAAGGGACAGCATACCCCTCCAAGTAGATAATAAGAGGAATGTATCTACAAAAGATAAAGCATTATTTTCTTGGCCAACTTCAGCACTTTCCATTCCTTGGTATTCTACACAGCTATCCCTGTTCTCTCTATTAGTTAACTAGCCTGTCTGGGAAAAGAGGGGGTGAGAGAGAGGGAAAAAGGAAAGGAAAGAAGCTCAGGGCTGGGCAGATGGCTCAGGCAGTAAAATATCTGTTGCACAAATTGAGTTTAGATACCTCCCTCCAATACTAAAGCTGACCGAATCTGTAAACCTTGCTGCTAGAGGTGGTGGTAGGTGCACGGACACACAGATACCTGGAACTTACTGACCAGCCAGCCTAGCTGAATCAATGAGCTCCATGTTCACTGAGAGACCCTGTTTCAAAACGTGAAGTGGAGAACAATGGGCAGAGACACCTCTTGTTGACCTTTAGCCTCCACACAACATGAATGCACACACACTTGTACACAAACAAGTACCTAACACAGACACAAAGACAGATAGACAGACAGACAGACAGACACACACACACACACACACACACACACACACACACACAAACACACACACACACACACACACACACGAGGCTGGGGAATGGTCTGCTTAGCCCATCTTCCATTGCAAAGCGGTGCCATGGATAAAGAAATATGGTAGAACCTGTGTTAGAGATGTCAAGAATAGGACAAGAATTCTTTATCCAAACCAAAATATAAAGATTTTTGTGTTCATGAATACGCAAACCCATATATGGCAGGACGGGTGCCTGAGATAACTGACTTTTTGAGAAGACCACAAATCACCATACAATTTAAATGCATAAATGCACGTTCTGTAGCACATCGTGGCACAGCATGCAAGCACAACTTCAATTGCTATGTAGATTTTAGCCCAAGCTTACATTTGTTTGAGCTTTTAACCAGAACTAAGGGGAATTCATTTATATATTTTCTTGTGGTTATTACAGGTACTCAGAGAAATTGTATTCAATTGACATGTAGCTTAATGTCAGCAGATGGCCCCAGCCCCAATTAGAACATATTTTGCAGAGTTATATGACTATGTAGTACTTCTTGTCCTCATTTTTTCTACTTTTCTAGTTTATTCAAAGTTAGCTACTCAATATATAAAGGCTGCTATGAAATATGTGGTAGGAATTCTTTATTGAGATGAAATTCATGATAGCATTTCAACCCTTTATTAAAAAGCCATAAAACCAATTGGTAAGTCATCAGCAAATACCTTTGTTGAAAAGCATTTCAAATCCTAACCAGAGTGGTGGTAGCATACACCTTTAATCCCAGCATTCCTGACGCAGAGGCAGGAACATCTCTGTGAGTTTGAGGCCAGCCTGGTTTACAGAGCTACACAGAAAAACCCTGTCTTGAAAAACAAAAAACAAAACAACAACAAAAAATCAAATCCTATGCCTCGGCCTCTTTCTCACATACTAAAAATCTTTGTGGCAGTATCGTGCTTGTTCTGGCTTGCACTGTAGTTTATATACATACTGATAAAGGTATGAAGGGTTGAAATATGATTGTTATCCAAGTAGCAATGAATGAATGGAATGCAGAAAATTCCAGTTAACATTTATCTCCTGGCACAATTTTATCTACCAAAGAAAGTCAGAAAATAGCTCACTCTAAATAACTGTTAAGTGGCCTTAAAGGAGATTTTCAGTTTTGTTTTATTTCCTCTGCCCTAGGAAGTTTTATATTTATCATGTTTCAATAAAGAATGTCAAGTATGTTTAATATGAAAATTTATTGTGCACTTCTTATAACACACAGGGTAAGGCTGAAGTGGTGGCGCGTCGCTGTGATCCTAGCATTTAAAAGGCAGAGGAAGAGAAATGTAAGCTTGAGGCTAGCCTGGGCTCCACAGAGAGCCTCTTGAAAAGAAAAGCAAGCCTATCCCAAAAACCTTTATGACGTGTGTGTAGATTTTCTGTGTCAACCAAAGCTCTTTACTGTTGTCACTGCCCCAGCCCTCTACAGTTTCTTTCCTGAAGGCTGGAGTGAGTCACACTGCCGTGAGAAGACTCTAACTTAACTGATCTCAGTCAATGACTGTCTTGGAGAAGAACTTTTAATTCTATTCAATTATATGGAGCTATTCACAGAAGATTGGATATATTAAAAATGTTCTTTAAGGAAACAAGAGTTTACTCAGAAGCATTCTTGATTATTCCAAATTCATCTCCTTTTTATTTCCTGAAAGTGAAAATTTTATTTAATTAGGGGGGCATCTGTCAAAAAAGAACTCAAATTCTACATTTAAATTACATGGTAACTCTACATTTTAGAAAGCACTTACATTTGGCATGTATCTTTTTCTTTAATTAAAAGGCATGCATTTCACTGTTTAGCTACACTTAGTGAGTGATTGTTCTCAACATTTACTTATTGATTCCTCAGCCCTGAAAGCCAGTTAAGTAACTTGATTGTTCTGCCCATATATGGGCAATAAGATTAATGCCAAAAATGAGATGAGTACGTATAAATATTGTCACTTTATTATACATACACACAAAAGAGAAAAAATAAATTTTGATCTAAACATTCCTCAGATTTTAAGGGCAAAAGAGAAACAAAGTCTTAATACTTCTCAGTTACCACTAATAGGTAGAGCAATTTTTGTTTATATGATATCAAAGTAAACAAAAGAAAAGCTGAGTAAAATAGACACATCATTTAATAGTCCTGTCACAGTTACTTGGAGAAGAACAAAGTTGAAAGATGTGTAGCTTAAGAAGTGTATTAAATGAACTGACTTGAAGACATCTTGAAAAAAGTATTACATTTGGCAAAGTTCCCATAATAATCTAAAAACAACGACCCTGACCATTTCTCCATAATTTAAAACTAAAATATATCAAAGGGGAAGGAGATACACAATGTGTTTGTCCTGAAAATATGCAAGAAATTAGTTCAGCACTTGATGACACACATCCCTCAGTTTTCCTTGCTCTGTTCCATGACCAGCAACATCAAAGTCTAGTAAATAACCGAATGTGGTGGACTTAGGACCTATATGTACGTACACAGAAGGCATGCTGCATATACTCCATGTTGGCAGTTGGAAAGGACAGCAGAAATGAGAACAGCTGGATTACCTCACAGGGGTGCTGGTTATTCCAACTTAAATAAACTGACTTTCTAAAACTCTTGATAAAGTGGAAACTTGAATGAGATTTATAAATAAATGATAATTAGGTTTTCAGACTAGTTTAAAGACCTACTGAAAAGGGAAGCTATAAGTGCAAGACTGCAGTTTGATCACTAATCAAAAGAGAAATGAATTTGGCTCTCACCTATCAAATATGCAGCATATCATAGGCACATATTATTCTCACTTGACAGACATTAACCGCTTGCTCCACGCCACAAGCCTAAGAGGTTCCCAGGCCAAATTCCAGCCTAGCCTTGCCTGTTTCCATAGTCTTCTCCAATGCTAATAAGAAGACCCTTGGCAAGAATGATACTGCTTCCTGGCAATGGCATGGGTGGCCTGGGAGACAGCTGCACCCATGTGATAATGTTGAGGCCACTCGCTGCTTTCCAAAGAAATGGAACCTTTCCATATCTCCAAATTTTATCTCTTGGCTATTACCCAAGTCAGCAACTACTATGATGTTTCCTCAGTAGAGAATCTATAACATGTTTTAATTAATCATGATTTACATGCTCATCAATAAAAGATTGAAAAAAAAAATCTAAGGAAACTCCCCTGAGTGTGATCATCCATATCTGTGCAGAGATTTCTTTCTGTGTAGGATACACCACTCTCCAGCAAGAAGGAATTTAATTCTTTTATAGATAAAACCAAAATTTACCTCTGGAAATCTGCAACCAGTTTCACATCAGCTATGACAATCTTGTGCTCGATAATCATGTGCTTCAGAAGTTTGTCTTGTTCAGCCAGGGGAAGTCGTTCCTCACAGAACATACAAGGCACAGATGGAGGTCCTTCGGAAGCGGTGGGGCCACCTGGGCTTTCTGGCAGGGAAAGCGGCTCCAGGATACAATCTTTACTGTCTGGGAGAGGCACAAAAGAAAGAAGAAAGAAAACTGAAACCAACCCTGGCTTTTTAGATGGATGATTTCTCACCTCCTGCATGGAAAGGGGCCTGAAGGCATTTTACTTATTTTAATAATAATGATGATGATGATGATAAACACAGTGCCAGAGAGAACCTTGCTGTCATTTTAAACACAGCTACAGCCACGGGAGAAAGAACTTGGAGCCGCACAGTCTTTGCTTGAATGAGGGAAACCCATTTGCTGAAGTCACTGTTGAAGTTTTTTCTTCTTGGGTCCTGGCCAGTGGCTGCAATTCAGAGTGCTAGCAAGTGGAAACAGCTGGGTTGGGGTCCTAAGTGACCACATGACTTAGTAAGCCATCACACAGCTCATGCCAAGCTCTTTCTAATATATCTGAAAGCTTTCTTATTTCTAGTCACATGCCATGCACAAAGAACACATTTCCTACACTGGCTTGAAACAGCAGTGATACGTGGCTGAAGTAGCAATCTCCATGTTATGTCTATCATTTGCTCATTACAGTCAGGCTTTGATGAGCCAAGCCTTACACACTCAGTATATACATAGTAAACTTTTCCTTGCCTGAACGTTTCTTTCTTCTTACATCACTCACAGTGTCTTCAAGTGCTTTAATGTCTCAATGTCTCTGATTTCAGGGCAGCAAACTAAGGCAGCTGTCCCAGGAACTCTCTTTAGTCTGCCAGGGTGGAACCCTGGTCCTGCCATCTTATTCCAGTTCTAGGGTCCAGCCTTTGCATTTGCTGAAGGAAAGACACTTTCCTCAGAGAGAGATAAATGCTGGGCCTGATGCTGCAGGCCAGTAATAGCTGGTTGGGAGGTTGAGCAGGAGGATCTCAAATTCAAATCTTGGGGGGACTGCAGAGAGAGTTAAAGGCCAACCTGGCCAATTTAATGAGGTTCTGCCTCAAAATAGAAGGTAAAGTGAGGACTGTAGGTAGTTTTGTGATGGAGAGCTTATTTAACATATATAAGCATACTGTCAATTCCCAGTATTTTTTTTTAAAGCTATTCTGCAGATGAACTTTGGAATTAGGTTAATATCAATATTTTACATTTTATTTCTTATTTTTACTCTCATTTTGTCATTTAAATATTCTAACTTAGTAATATTAACTCCGTCACTGGTACACTGTTGAGCATGGGCTAAGAATCAGCTGAGTCCCATAGATCGGAGCACTCATTTGCCACTTAACAAACACTGCTGAGTATCTACAACTGTATGTCAGTCAATACTTCTATGCAGTACTGCATGGTATGACTCTTCTCAAGAGACCATACTGTTTGCTAGAAGGTACCGGTAGGTTAACGAGAAAGAGACAGAGGACGTTTATGGACAGCTCAAAGCAGGATGGCTCAGAACAGTTGGAGAGGAAATTGTCCCATAGGAGATTTTTGGTGTACAAATCTCACATACTCCAGTCATATTCAAGTCCTAAATCAAACTGTGCATATGCCCATACAATTCTATATTAGAACTGAAGAGGCTATCGAGTAAACACAGCACTAGGGAGTATTTAAAACATGTAAGTACTTTAGAAGTATTATTAATGAAACTGCTGCTAGCACTCCTCTGCCAGCCAAGGACAACAAAGGCAGCATATTGGTGGGTATTGGTTAATGCTGATTCCAGCCAAGAGCTGAGGGTAAGAACTGTACAGTACATAGTCTTAAAGAAGCTAAGTATATTACTCCATCTCAGTGTTCAGGGAACATCAAGGGAGAGGGGTCGAAAGGACTGAAGAGCTGGAGGATGAGGCAGATGAGAGGTGCTGAGAGATGCTCTCAGGCTATTGCCTGCTTGAAAGGAGGGCAGCTGTGGTTACTCAGAGATGACCAAGCTGGTCAGCAACACAGCATGAACCAGGTCCACAGCAAGGAGGAGGGCCCACAAGGCCCCACCCCAGCTCAGGAACTGCTGGTGGGAGGACAAGTCAGTTTTCTTCAGGGGTGTGGCCAATGGTAGCACTTATTAGGGCAATGCTAATGGGACTTAGTGGATTATTAAAAAAACAAGAGAAGGAGGACACTAAGTTGAGAGGCATGGTGGGAGTGGTTCTGGGTGGGGAATGGAAGAGAAGCATTAAGGATGAATATGATCAAAATAAACCATATACATGTATGGAATTGTCAAAGGATGAAAGGTCCTTAATTAAGTAATGGTAATGTTAGTAAACATCACTTGACAAACACATAACAATGAGCCCTGTTGACATTTTTCTCCTCCAATCTAACTGAAATATTTGCAGATTCCTTCCTCTGACCAGAGTAAACAAGCATATGGTAATAGCAACCATCACCACCACCAGTAGGATTGAAATGAGAATTTCCCACTGATAAATCAGCAGCAGTGTGCTAGGGCATCTCCTCAATCCTAACATGTCATTTGCTAAAGTTAATATAATCCCATCTTCCACATGAGGGATTGGAGACAGGAAAAGCTAAGAGTAATATTTTATGAAGACAGTTCAGTCTGAACTCAAATACATTATTTAGCTCCCAGTACCCAAAGGCATTTTCCAACTTGAATTCTTCTTGAACACCTACACTCAGTGCTGTTTTGAACGTGTATGTATTTAGAGCCAGTGTGAATTTCTGTGCATTCCCGAGTGTCCTGATGCCACCCTCCTCCTGGCAGTTTTTGTACCATGCTCAGTATCCCAGATTTTCTTCCATGATTGTTCTTATTTTTTCCACAGATTTCCTGTAAACTCTCTTCTTCTGTGGTTCCTTTATATGGCTAATGCCCAGCTGTTCTTTTCCTCAAATTATTCCTGGGTAAACAGACACAAGACTCACATGTACGGAAACAGAATTACCTGTCATGGCAAAGGAACAGACTGAAATCATGGCTGTGAAAATTTTATGTCTGAGGAACCTGTGGTTTAGGAATTATTGAATATGAGAATATATTTCAAAAAAAATGATTCAACAGAACCTTTAAATATGATTTTTTTTTCTTCTCTCTGACTCTTTGATCACTTAGTACCTTGCTAACGTGGTAACAGCATTGTCATGTGGAATAATTCATTTACCTACTTGTCTGTTCTTTGCCCCTTTGCGTGGTTGATGCGGGAAGTCCTTGACACCAAACAGATCTGATGTCCCCCGACTAACACTGTCAGCAGGTGTAATTTCTGGTCAAATGTTACATACTTTATCCATAAACATTAACTCCATCGATCCTCACCATAACTCTAATAAAGGGCTTCCATTAATCCTATCTTATAAATGACGGAACAGAGAGGCAATTTGAGTTAGTGCTGTTAGCTGTTCCCTGGTAGAGAGTGGATCTAGCCCCACACTTGTGCTGGAGCACACACATCTTTATGAGATACTACAGAGTAAGTAAGAGCTTTCCTTAGATGAGGCAGAGCCACATCCATACATTACTATTTATTTATTTATTACTTTAGAGTTCTATTATTTTATTTTTTAAAACTATTTTTAAGTTAACATCCTAACAAATGGATTTACTATCACATTTTCTTACATGTCATTTCACTTTGTTCATGTTTACCCTCCTTCCCCATTACCCTACCCAAGCCCCATTCCATTTTGATGTTGTAAAAAGGGAAGAGTAAGTTGGGAAGATGCAAGTCTCAAGATGGGGAGACTAAGTTGGAAGAACAGTGTAGATGCCTAAGTCTGAGAGCTTGTGGGGCAGCAACATTAGCAGTGCAGAGAGCCTAACAGTTCTAGTCACTGACTGGCCACTGAGAGTGAAGGAAAAGAGAATAGGAAGAGAGAGGGAGTATACCACCATCTTTGTGGAGTGAACTGGCTAGTTTTATTCAACTTGACACAAGCTAAGTCATCAGAGAGGAGGGAGCTCAATTGAGAAACTGTCTCCTCAAGATCAGCTGTAAGGCATTTTCTTAAACAGTGATTGATATGGGAGGGCCCAGATCATTGTGGGTGGGGCCACTCTGGGCAGCGGTCCTGAGTTCTATAATAGAGGAGGCTGAGCAAGTCATGAAAGAGTAAGCTAGTAAGCAGCACTCCTTCAGGGCCTCTGCATCAGCTCCTGCCTCCAGGTTACTGCCCTGTGTGAGTTCCTCCCCAGCTTGCTTTTGGTCATAGTGTTTCATTGCAGCAATAAAAACCCTAACTAAGACAAGGAGCCTGTATAAAACAGTAGTTCCAGTCAATGACTTTGGATTTCAACACAAAGAGAGTGGTTGTTAGGGTAGGGTGAGTAGTACAATATCAGAAGTTACATGCTCCTCTTATGGTTGGTAGACATGAAGCAGAAACTGGTACTCCACGTGATGGATTTAAACTGTCCTGTTTGCCAGTCTCTGCTCTCCAAGGTTCCCCTCTGGGCTTGGCTTACTCTATCTCTTCATGTATCACTGCTATAATCAATTATTCACACACATATCTATCTCCACTACTATGTCAGTCTGTGAACTCAAGGTCAAGGGCTTATTTTTATATGTTTTGTGTAGACTACAGTGACTGGAACAAAGTTAGTATTTGACAAATGTTTGTTAAATGAAGACATGAAAGAATTAACAGCAGGCCAGAGGTCCTTTGAACTAGAGTTCTAATGTTAAGTTTCTAGGAAAGTCCCATTTTAGGAAACACCTGTGCCTGTCTTTAGTGGAATTTTTCTTCCCTGGAATTAAGGCTAGACCAGCTGTATTTACAGCTTGATCTTTTTTTAGTGCTGGGGCCTTGGCATAAAAGGCACAATGACAACTAGGAATGATTAAAAACTGAAATGAGTTCTAAGCTAGAAATGCACATTAGTCAGTTTAGCAGTCATAACTAATTTGTTTTTATTTTGTCTTTTTGTGGAGGCAGGGTCTCCTTGGCCCTTCCTTGCCTAGCCTTGATATGTTATATTTTATTGGAACAGAACTTGTAAATATTCTTCATGGAAGGAAGGGTATTTCATGGCAAAGAACAAGTGGCATTTGGAATGCATGGTGATTTCACCACTCCATAAAGGAAGTTTATATGGAATAGAT